AAAAAAAAAAAAAAAAAAAAAAAAAAAAAAAAAAAAAAAAAAAAAAATCAAACATTTTCTGTAAACATCTAAAATCATAAATATAACATTTTGCATTTTCTAACTGCATTACATATATATTACATATATTAACTCACATGCATGAATTAATAATAATGAACCATTTGTTTGAATAAATAGCTCATTGATATACTATTACTTAGAATAAATGCAGTCTTTTGATAAGCAAGGTCAAAATTTTGAGCTACCTCCAGCTACTTTTAAATAGATATGAGGGCATGCAGGATCTAATTTGGCCTCTTTATAGGAGTTTTACTTTGGCTTTATGTAAAAAATGGGCATCAAGGATCACTGAAATCTTTAGAGTACCTTCCTAATGTTTCAACTACCAGCTAACCAGCCCATCCACAGCCAACATCCTACACACTGCTAACCATTATCCCCAGGTCATTACTGAACCTCTCTCTCCCACCCCTCAAATCTTTCCTCATTCCAGGAAGCCTAGCTCCATGCCAACTCCAATATCTTAACCCATTCAAGGTTAAACAAGGTACCTCTCAAAGTTAACATTCTGCTTAACTGGTATGTTACCCCAAGCTTAGGGTAAGAATTAGTGATGACTACTCTCTCCTCCCTTCTTCCTGCCTCAAAGCAGCTTCCATCTTTTCCCCACCCCCTCAGCATCCATACCTACATATACCCATTAAAAACCAACTCCCAGACCAGGGCAGGGAGCAATATGGCAGCCAGCAGAAAGGTCTTTCGGAGAGCATCTAGAGTTGCAGTCCAACACAAAACACATATTGCACAGCCTAGTGCTCACCCTACCCCTCTGGCGACTGTGGTGCTTCTTCTGCAGTAGCTGAAAGCAATCCAATCCTTGTTTATTTGTCCAACCACTCTAAACTACCCATAACAAGCTAGAGAACTGGAAACAACAGGAAGGAATGTCTGCAGTCACATGCAAAAGCTCCCAGCAAGAAACTTTGCTACAACTGAAGGAATTTCTGAGGTCTGAGTCTAAACAATGGGATCAAGGTTTGGACCCCAAGTCCCGGTGGTTTTAGTCAGGCTCACACCCAAGACTCAAGACTCCACTCCAGCCCTCTGGCCCACCCAAGCCTGAAGGCAGTGGCAGCTGCAGAACATGCGGGGCTTTGCTTGCTCTGTTCTGGATTGCTTGACTGCCATGTGGAAGCCAAGCTAGGGCAGCTGCCGGTTTGCTGTGGCTGCTGACAGACGAGTATTCTGCTGTGGTGCAGAAGCATGGATGGAGACCATCCCTACTTCTCAAAGAAAACAGAAAGCAAAATGGTAACACATGTAGCGCCAAAGCAGCAGTTTCCCTTTGAACTTTGGAAATGAGTTCATTCAATGGCCTCAATACAATGAGCAACATGCGAGAAACAAAGTTCTTCAGCCAAGATCTCAAGAATATTACAGCCTTTCCTTTCATTTTTCTCACGCCCCCATGTTTGGGGATTTGAAAACCGAATGAAAGAAGGCATTCTTTCAGTGTAGGGCACGGGCCTTAAGTCACCCAAGGAACAAGTTTTCATTATCACTTTTAGCATCAAGATGAAATTGGACTTACTGATAACTATTTTTTTTTTTTTTTTGCAATCTTTCAGGCCAATATTTGCAATTTCTATCTAAGACTGGAGATTAAAAGTTTCAGCTAGGGAGAAGGTCATTAAGGAGAAAAAGGAAGAGGTAGGGGAAACACCAACCTTGAAAAACAGAACAAAGTACACAGAGAGGCAGAGGCAGAAGAGGACTCGGAGTCTCAACAGTGGAGAAAACATTTGCCCTGTCTGCCTATAAAGTGATTTAACATTAACCATGCTCCTTCTACCAGCAGAGTACCGCCTGCTGACAGAAACTCCCTTTTGAAATCCCAAGGGTGTAGGGAGGGGTGTGTTGGGCTGTGGGAGTAATTTACACACACTGAAAAATGTGAACAGCACCGCCACAGGCCAGTGTCTTGGGCATTCTGCCTAAGAGGTCTGCTTTCAGCGAGGGGCGGAGGGTGCCACTCTCAAAACAGCTAGTAGAGTGACCAGCCTCCCTGCTTTTTGGCAGGCTTTCCCAGCTCACAGTTCCAGCGGAGTTTTGAGCCCATTCAAGAATTCCACCTCACGGGGAGCCGTTTCCGATAGTCATTTGATCAGTCAGCATTTGCACATGCACCTGCTAAGCAACTGGTCTAAGAGCCAAATCCCCCATCCTCCACCGGTAACCAGAAGGGTTCCTGCATACAGGGGTGAGGGCGATGCAAAGAACAAGCCAAGCCTCTATGCTGCAGCGTGAGGTCAGGCTTCAAGTGCAGAGGTGATTCTCTTCCCTCGTGACAACTTCCCTGTCACTTTGTTCCTGGGGCAGGTAGGGGATTTTCGTTAGTTTCCTTACCTGGAGGTGGTTTCGTCGCCTCCATTTGCAGGTCTCTCCCCAACGACCTGGTCCTTGCCGCTGGGGTGGTAAGCAGTTAGCACAACTCCGGGGGAACTCTCGAGCCAGCTCATGGTGACAGAAGGGGCATAATTCTGGGATCCTGACACAGAAGGGAATGAAGTTCCTGTCTCGCCTTGGCAACTTGCTCATTAGCAAGGGCCAGCCCCTCCCCTGTCCCGGCCAGCGATTCACAGGGAGAGGGGCGTGGCCTCTCCAGCTGGGTTTCCTGGCCCAGCAGTTAAGGGCTGTGAGTGACTCACAGCTTTGTTTAAACCCGGCAATCCCAGGCGGCCGCAGCAGTTAAGGGGACCCCGGGTGTGTGGGGGTGGTCCCAGCCCACAGCTCACCCACCGCTCACTACAAGCCTAGTGAGCTAGGAAACCAAACCGTGGGTAAGGGCAGGGCCTTTTCCCCTTCCCCATTCCTGTTTCCATCTGATAATTTCTGCTACTTCATGTAACTCGAGTAAGGCAGTCTTTAACCCCTTCAGGCATCCACCAGGGCAAAACCAAGGAGCCTAGTCAAACACACAGTGCCATCTGGCCCACCAGAAAGGCTTTGCTTTCTGCATTAAAAATATTGCGTTATTGTGTGCACTGCAATGTCAAACACACCTCTTGTCTTATTAAAACACTCTTTAGGAGAAATAAATACATGTCTACCTAGTGGCCTGTTAAAAGGTATTGCTCAAAATTAAAGAAGTCCCAACATTTGCTGAGAACCTATTACTTTCTAGTTGTGTGTGCAGGATGGGGGGTGGTGCCCAGGAGCACTTCAGCCTACATGCTCACACACACGCACACATACACAAACTATGAATATTATAAGAAAACGTATAGCCAAGGAACAGGGCAAATAACTTGTCCAAAATAAGTTAGTAAGCGCCAAGTTATTAGATATTCGCCTAGACTGTCATGTTTGGCCGATGAAGAAGCAAACGCAAACGTAATTTTTTAAAAATAATTTTCTGCGTTTTCTATTCTGAAAAACAAATTTAAAACAAGAATTTCTGCTCTTTGATATATGTAGCAATCTGAGTTGAAACATTTTTGCTTTATATTATATACATACACATATATGTATATCTATGTATATTTATATATGTATATATGTATGTGTGTATATATACATATATATATATATACTTTCTGTGTAAACCAGGGTGGCCTCAAATTCACACATTTTCTTGCTTCTACCTTCCAAGTGCTGTTCATGCCACCACACCTTGATTTTATTGTTATTATCATTGTTGTTGGGGGTGGTTATTTGTGCATATGTTTGTATGTCTGGTTCAAGTGTTTGCCACAAGTGTTCCGGTGCCCCAGAGGCTAGAGGAGAATGTTCCATTCCTCAGAGATGCCACAAGGAAGTTGTAAGTTTCCCATCATGGGTGCTGGGAACCAAACTCGGGTCACCTGGAAAAATAGTATGTGCTCTTAACTACTGAACCATCTTTCTAGCCCTGCTTTTAGCCTTGAACTTGCTACCCAGTTTGGGATTCTTTGGCCAGGCATACACCAGCAGCCTGCCAGTTGCCCCATGCCTGCCAGTATGTGGGCTTGTGGAGATGGACCCAGAACTTCACACACGTAAGGCAAGGAAGCTACCAAAGGATCTGAATTCCGAGTCACAAACTGAAATTCCTGGTTAACTTCGTGATCGCTTTTGGTTAACCTTGCTGGGCGTGATGGTACATGCCTGTAATCCCAGCACTCAGGGAGGCAGAGGCTGAGCTCTCTTTGAGTTTGAGGCCAGCCTGGTCTACAAAGTGAATCTAGGATAGCCAAGGCTACATAGAGAAACCCTGTTTAAAATAATAATAATAATAATAATAATAATAATAATAATAATAATAATAATAATAATAATAAAACCCAAAATTTATTAATTATTATTGCTTTATTTTCTGGATACCTTTGATTTTGTCATTCCATATACATATGATTTGTATTTCTTTTATTATTTAAAACTGAGAGATAAGTTATTTATATTTAAAATACTGAGAGATAAGTTATTTATATTTAAAATACCAATTGTCAGCTAGGTGTGGTGCCACACACCTTTAATGCCAGCACTGGCAGGCAAAGGCAGGTGGATCTCCAAGTTCAAGGTCAGCCTGGTCTACAGAGCTTCCAGGGCAACACAGAGAAACCCTGTCTCAAAAAAAAAAAAAAAAAAAAAAAAAAAACAAAAAACAATGTCCACTGTCTAAGTGTGATGAAACAGATCAAAAGCAACTAGGGGAGGAAAGGGTTTATTTGGATGGCACATCATAAATTACAGTCTATGATGGAAGCCAAAGAGGGGATGGGAACAAGGCAGTAACCTTGGGCAGAAGCTGATGCAGAGGTCTTGGAAGGGTGCTGCTTAATGACTTGTTCCTCACAGCTTACTCAGCTTGATTTCTCATATAACGCAAGACCACAGCCCAGGGATGGCACCACCCACAATAGGCTGGGCCCTCTCTGATCAATAATTTAAAAAATGCCCTATAGGTTTGCCTGCAGAACTCCTGGAGGCATTTTCTCAGTAGAAGCTGTCTGCTCTCACAGATGACTGTAACGTGCTTCAAATGGACATAAAACGAACCAGTCCATGTTTTTTAAAAAAATTATATTCATTTTATGAATGTGGGTTATTTTATGCATATTGTGTTTACAAATATGTCTGGCATATGTGTATGCCTAGTGCCTGTGGAGGCCAGAAGAGGACATAGGATCTCCTGGAACAGGAGTCCCAGACAGCTGTAAACCCCATGTGGATGCTGGAATTTGAAACAGGGTCCTCTAGAGGAGCGGTCAGTGCCTTTAACTGTAGAGCCATCATCATGGCCCTTTCAAAGTATGCACATTTTTCAAAAATGTCTTTTTGTTCATGCCACAGAGAACTCAAACACAAATGTTCCTTTAAAGGGACCCTTTTATATATTTCTGTCTCTCTTTCCACAACCAGTTGCTCAATATTTCCACCTTGTCCTCCTTACGGGCTCTCTCCGCTGCCCTCTCCTCTCTGTTCTCCTTGCCTCAAGCTGGGACTTGCAATTAGCTGTTAGCTCCACTCTTTTTGTTTGCTTGTTTTTCAATACAGGGTTTCTCTGTGTAGCCCTGGCTGTCCTGGAACAGACTCTGTAGTCCCTGCTGGCTTCAAACTCAGAGGTCTGCCTGCCTCTGCACACTGAGTGCTGGCATTAAAGGCCTGTGCCGCCATGGCCTGCTCCTTAGCCCATTCTTGTCCCCTCCTTTAAACTCTTCTGCCCGCCCGTTGTTATTGGATCTATCCCAACATTACGTACATGTATCACTACTTACAAACCTTCACCGAGTCCCTAGTACCTAAGGAGACAGTTCCATGGTCCACTGTCATTCTCACTTCCTGCTCCAAATGAGGCTCTCACCTCACCTACATATCCTTCTCCCCTCAGGTCACACTCTCTTCCTTTTCCTTCCCTTCGCATCTGACCTCTCATCCCCATCCCCCCTCCCACCCTTGCATCCCAGGTCTCTAAATAAATGCTAAACAGGCGGAAGTATGTGACTCTGAAGGTGCCTTCAATTTCAATCTTGAATGAGAACTGGTCAGACAAGTGGCTCCCAAGCACATACCAGTACTGCTGAACTGTTCACCACAGTCCAGGTAAAATTAAAAAAACAAAACAAAACAAAACAAAAAAAACAGGAAGGGACAGCCAGAGGGAAAGTAGATGAGAGCTTGCACTTCCGTCTTGGACGTGACCTTGTATGGAAAAGTGGTGAAGGGTCCCTCCACCCCATCACCTTGTTTAAAGGTGACTGCTTTTCAGTGCTTTGGCTTGTGAAGACTCTTGTATTTCTTGCCTCTTCTCTGCTTCACTCTTTCCTTCTCTTCTCTTCCCTGGGCCTTCTTCATATCTTCTTCATTTCTCTCCTAGTCTCCCTCCTTCCTTTACTGAATGAATCTCCAGTCTCTGGGTATCACATAGAAAACACTACCAACTCTCATGAGTCAATTGATAATGACAGATTTTGTCCACTAGAAACCAAAACAGTAATTAAACCATATCCTTACCTAATTATAGTATCTTCACTGATTTAATGAATTAATCATAATGTTCAGGTTAAAATGTAGCTATTTCAAATAGCATGTGGGTTCAGGCAGAAAATTAACTGTGATACAAATTGAATCCCATAACATTATATATAAATTCCAAAGCCTCCTCATTACACAGAAGTTTCTCAAGATCCTGTTCATTTCTTCCCTGTATGTTCTGTTGTTACTAGTCTGAAGATATGGCTACCAGAGGCAGATACACAGCTAGTAGGACTGGTGTACACAGCTCAGACTCAAGTGCGTTAAAAATAGTTTCAGAATTTTACTATGTCATCATGGAAGGAAGCCTAATCACCAACGTGGACCTATGAGAGGGTGTTCGTATTTCATAACCTAAATTCTACCAACATTCATAGTACATTTTTGCTTCTCTACCAGCATTCTTGCATGGCTCTTCTTTATGAAAACAAAAAAATACAGTAAACACACACTTCTGATGTCCCCTCATCCATTTCAGACATTTCATGTCCTAGAAAATGTTAATATGCAAGCCTCTGAGCTCATGCCAAGCACTTCCTGTTATGAGTCATCTTAGAAAGCAATTAAAAACATCAAGACAGTTTAAACATGCATTTCATTCATCCTCTTCCAATGCTGTATACTGGATGTCACAGGGAAGGGGGAGAGGTTGTAATTTATGCACTCAAATAAATTGTTAAAAATAGGTTGGCAGTAGTACCGCAGTGTTTGACAATTTAACAACCATGCTCTGAAATCATTTGAAAAATTCTGAACTTCAGTGCTACTAGTATGGAAGAGTTTACTAACTGTTCATATTCCAACATAGGCTCCTACTTAGTAATAAAAAATTACTCTGGGAAGAAACCAAAGTTGCAGTGGAATCAACATGTTTATTAATATTTTTCCTTCCCATCACTCTACATCAGTAAGGGAAGGAGATACCAGTGAGGGAGAATTACCTGCTATTTATAAGGTGATATAAAACATAAAGCCATATGAAAAATGATCTTTCAAATGGCAATACTAAACCCAACTTATACTTATAGGTTGTAACAAGAACTTGAGTAGATTGTAGATTAATCAGTTGTGAACCTCTTTTTTTACCTAAGTGATAAAACTGGGGCTTACAGAAGTGCTG